TATGATTACATGAGCAATTCGTGTAACTAATTTTAGTGCTATCTAACCTTCATATCTTATAAACCCTAGTAATTTTACCTGCAAGGTACCATTATGTCAGTACGCCTTGCTCTGCCTGGGCAGTGATGTTCACAAGGATCCATCACAGACTTGTATTGTTTTTTTTAGTTATCAAGGGGCTGGAATTGTTACCATTGGGGGTGTTGAGCTTAGTTCTTGTGTTCCTTATGCAAACATTATACCATATTTAGACTGCTAGGGTTACCAACTATTATTCAAACCTATGATTTGATGTGAGATTCCAGTGGTTGAATGGTACACCACGTTCGATTTTCATCTTCCATTTAACCATTTTTAACTAATCTTCAAATATGGTCTTTCGGGAGTGTCTCTTGATTACTTCGTAACGGATTGCTCTTTCCATTGGATTGATTACCTTGGTAATTGTTTCCGAATTTCTTCTCCCAGGGTCTACCCCTGCATTTTTTCATCGTGAGTCTTGATTCAACATCATTCGACCTTGGTTGGGTAGGTCATCCTTTTGTGGTAGCCATTGGTGATCGACAATGCATGTCTCCCAATATGTGTCCGGCCCATTACGCTTTCGACTGGTGCTAGTGACCGAAGTCTTCTAGATCTTCCACAAGTGAGTTTTTTGAGAAGAAGTGAATATCGGCATCTAAATTGTCGGAGTGAATCAATTGGTTTCTTTCTTCAGTCTTCATATATTCCGATCAGCATGATGTTATTGTTGTAGTTAGACACTAAAACCGGCTGTAACCTGTATGACCTGATTTTTATAATACCGTGATCAGACGATGTGTTATGATAGATCGTTTGTATACAAGAGTGCATGTGGCTTTTTGAACATGCATCTTGTACAACATGACCTATGTTGTGAGAACCATTCATGGGTGGGATTGAACCAGTATCTTATGGATAGTGACCTGGGAGTATACCCACTGCACTATAGATCCATAGATCTCATTTTTACCTAAAACCTATATGATCATAATATAAATATATAATACTTTTATAAATTAATTAAAAAAATTAAGTAAGAATCAAAATAAAAAAGATTTGTTGATCGTAAATATAAATATATTTTTTTAATATATAAATTTATATGAATTTAATTTGTTAAGTATTATAAAATAAATAAATTTACATGTATAATATATAATTTAAAATTTTGATTATTTTATAATATTATAATTAATAAATTTTTTATTAAAATAAAATAAATTAATATTTATTAACAAAAATTTTAATTTTAATTAATTTAAAATTTTTTATTTTTATATATATTTATTAATAAAAATTGATAGGCGGTGCAAGACTTTTGTGAACTACCATATATAGTATGTCATATTATCTAATAATGATTTCAAAAAAAAAAATAATATAATATAAATAATTTTATAGTCTAATCTTGAATTAGTACTTACAATTCTTATATTTTAACATAACCTTTAATTGAAATTTCTTTTACTATTTGTATTATTTCTTAATTACTAATAAAATAATAATTGTTATAAAACAATTTAAAAATCCTTCTATTGATTTTAATTAATGTTATACTGTATTCTAAATTCTATTTTCTAAATTAAATAATATTTTATTAATAATACAAAATTATAAATATAATAGAAATCCAAAAAGACATTCAAAAATTCTTTGGCTTGCTCAAATTAAATAGTTTCAAAATTTAAAAACTTGATTTTGCTTGTAACCAATATTACCTAATATGCCACCTATAGGTCCCTGCGATGAATCCCTCGATTTTTCACCACTAACATGAGTGACCATCCTAAATAATTCAATTAATACTACAAATTAAAAAAAAACAAATTTGTGATAAAAAGTTAAATATCATATTTACCCGTCAGGACCGCAAACTAATATAAGAACATCCTGTTGAGGTCCAGGAATATTATTTTCTACCATTTCTTTAGTCACATAGCCGATACCCTGGGTCCACGATCCATCTGTTGGTGGTTTTTCCAATGTGTAATAAATGTGCAATCGGTCAGAATATTCCCGTGATAGATGCTCTAATTCTTGGTGGAGAAGAATGTCTTGTTTGGTGACATTTGCGTAGACCAAATGTATTTTTGTTTTATCTGTGAAATTGCGGCAAACGTAATTTATAATTTGATAGCTAATTTTTTAAGTAATTAATTTTAATATTTAAATTTACTTTTTTTTTAAAAAAAAAAAAAAAAAGATATTAACTTACATAGGCGTTATTCCCGTTCCGCCACAAATCTATGCATCACAAGTAGAAGTTAATTTTTCCATTAAATATGCAAATTTTTGAAACACCGACGTTAAAAGATATTGGAATAAAACCTAACCATTCCAATGTGTGCATTCATATTGGTCATATAAGGAAAAGAAACAAATGGACCTCTAGCATTCAATGTTTCGCCTTCCTTCTTGGAATGAATGTATCGCGATACTGGCCCGTGATCATACCGTTTGATCAAAAGGTCGATGTGTTCTTTTTCATTTGATGGAGAAATGGGAGTATATTCACGCATAATTTGCATAGAATCATCTTTGATGTGAAAGCATGAGACAATTGGTAAATTTTCCTTGAGTGAAGTTGATAATTTTAAGCGAAAAACACTTGTGTTGTGGTTAACAGGTGAAATTTTGGTGATTGTTAAAGGAACGAAAGCTTCTGGTGAAATCGTCTTTTGTCGTAAGGTGTCTATGCAAGTATATAAAAGTACAGCAAAAATTCCGCTTCCTAGGGTAATAATTTTCCAATTCAAAAATGTTGATTCAACCCGAGTTGTATAGTTTCGAACAGAATTTTTCAAATGGACCCTACGGTAATAAGAGCTTAAAGTATACTGAGTAAGCATCATCCGAAACTTTGATAAATTTGATCTGATAATCAAAACGTGATCAAATCACCTAAATAGCCACGAGCAACGCGTTCTGTCTGATTCGACAAACATGCAACTATTAGATCAATTATTAAAATTTATGGACATTCTCTCTTCCGCCAAAACTTCGTCCGTAAGTCAATGGAACATTGAACGTTTGCAAAATGCAATTCAGTGTGCTATGGATGTCGAGAACGAAATGTTTATGATACCAGAAGAGGACGTTATGTTGATAACCCAACAGCTTGTTTCAAAAGTTAGATCACAACCACCAAACATTCCGGATTTCGGGAATGCACATCACCTATTATATGGGACATTATTGAAGAATGTTTATTTATCAAGTGAACTCTTCTCTTATATTATGAGTACATATGAGTTTCCACTTGAGGGTTTATTTTCCAAGAAAGATAATATTTCTGAAGTATGTCCTCAATAATAATATGTTTATAAAAAAGATAACAATAATATATAATAATGTAGATATAGATATTTTAATTACGTCTTTAAATAGGATGTTCATATCTTTGCCGGGCCGTTGGCAACGGCTGAAGTACTAATCGGAATTGAATCTTCTTTTCGTTATAGCACGCTTCACGTCAAATGCAAGTCTTCTTTTGAAAAAGGTCGACCAGTCGAATTTTCACAAAACAATTACAACAAATTATCGGGTGAGTATTTTTCGGAGTTATCTAACGAACAAAATTATTAATTTACGTTTTCGTATATTAATAGCTGTGAAACACGAATTCTCTTATAAGCTTTTGCACACAACTATTGCAAGGCGTACCTCTGCTAGAATACTTTTACAAGATCTCTGCAGGTCCTTTACTGGTTGTAAACGGTCTGTGAATGAACAAATAAGATCTCGATTGTATCATCACGCGACTTGTTTACAAGGTGGAATGGTAAGATATTAATCGTGTCTATCTTCAAGCCTTACGAGTTTTACATATTTAAATATTGCTTTTCATGTTAGGAAATAATATGTCATGTCGCGATATTATCTAACCAACAAAATAATGAAAATTCGGAAAATTTGACTGAATTGAATCGCATATTGATGGATTGGGTTACTTTACTTATTAGTGAAGATTCAATAAACCCAATCCAAGAACGCATTCCTTCACCTAGCAATTTAAAACATAAAGTCTGGATGTTACATCCTTGGTTACTAGCTCGACTTTCATTAATACATCAACCTTTCTTTGAGATATATTCACAAATATTGGTACAATGCACTAGGCAAGAACAGCAGTACATGTTGGGAAATCTTTCAATAGAATCGATTCTCCCAAAGCTATCTTATCAATATTCTAATGAGACACT